TATTGCAAATGGGTCTCTTTCAAATCTGTCTTTTTTGTTTATCCGTCTTCTAATTTCCTTAATCATTACTATATAGGAACCCCATCAATCAATTTTCTCTCAGTTCTTCATAGATTCATGAGGTTTTGCTAATTCTACAGATTATTATTATGATTTAATTAAATGCCTATCTTTTTAATTTTTCAGGGTTGCTTCATTTTAGTTGATAGTGCTACTTATACACTGAAGTTGTGATTGAAGTTTCTGGGTTTTTAGTTGCTAAATTTGGCTGCAATGAGCAAGAAAATGCCAAATCTTTGAGGCAATGTTTCGGGTTTTGAACACAGTAAGTTTTTTCTCAGATCTGGTATTTGAATTTTGTAATGTTGATATTGGTTTATATCTAGTCAATATCTGTAATTGGACTCTTAATTGTTAATTTATTTTTCAATTCTATAATTTTTTTTGGATGAATTGGATCTGCTGTGTCTTAGTTACCAGTATTAGTGAAAAATATGCACCTTATTATTATTATCTTTATTTATTTATTTTTTTAAATAATTGGGTTATGTTATGTTTCAGTATATGTGACTTAGTCTTATCATAAGCTGAATTATTTGGGTATGAAAAATGAAATGCATATAAATTAATGTTAAAATGTAGTCAAAACTCAAAAGGTGCCAATATATGCTAATCCACTTGCGGTCATAGTTAAGTATTAGGTGATGATATCATTTCATAATGGTGCCCCACTTAGTTCATACAAGTAATATGTAAGCAATTAAGAATATGAAGTTTGTGTTTTTTAGTACATGTTGTATTATGCACAAATTTTTCTCATTTGTGTATGCAAAGTAGTTTGTGAAATATGACCAAAAGTCTTAATCTTTGAAAAGGTTGAGGGTTTCATCTGTTTACAGTTTCCTTGGACTTGAGTTTTTTTTCCCATAGTGTTGAATATGGGAATTGTCTGAGACTGGAGTTCTTGTTTCGAATGTCAGGAAATCGGTTTACTTGTACATATATGGCACAGGAAATCTTCCGAGAGGGAAATAGTTGATGAGTATGGATCTCCGAGAAGAGTCCTCTAAATTGGAGTCTTTAGCAGGAACTACATCAAGAAGGCTTTCTTCTGCATCTTCTGTATTTTACTCAGCAAATCCTTCACCATTCTTTTCACCAAGTTCGCCAAAGTCTCAGTTTTCAGAGTCTAATCGCACTGACGTAAACCTTGAAGATGTCAACAGTTCGAGTAAAGCAAATCCAGGCCCTGAGCCAGAGATGAATGTTAGTCTTCCCCAACTGGACATTCCAGGTTCAGAATTGGCAGATGATCTGCAGTTGCTTGAGCGTGTTTCTTCCTCAATGGGAATATCCAATGAAACGGCCTCCACTCATAGCCAAGGTCGATGGATTGAATACTCAAGACCTCGAGGGAGGCGTAAGAAAGTGGTGAGACATTTTGGAGTGCCCTACCCTTCTAATGCAGATTCTCTGTCTGCCAGCCGAGTAAAAAACTGTGATATTTATATAGGCTTGTACGGAAGAAAACCTCCACTTTTGAGATTTGTTAATTGGTTACGTGCTGAGCTGGAAGTTCAAGGGGTCAGTTGCTTTGCTTGTGATAGGGCTCGGTGTAGGAACCCAAGGAAGCAGAGGATTGTGGAGCGAGCAATGGATGTTTGCAGCTTTGGAGTGGTGATCATAACAAAGAAGTCATTTAAAAATCCGTATACTATTGAGGAACTGAGATTTTTCTCTAGTAAGAAGAACCTTGTTCCAGTTTTCTTTGACGTTGCTCCTAGTGATTGCCTTGTTAGGGATATTATTGAGAGAAGGGGAGAACTCTGGGAGAAAGCTGGGGGTGAATTATGGAATTTATATGGTGGGCTGGAGAAGGAATGGAAAGAAGCAATATATAGTCTTTCTCGCATTGATGAGTGGAAATTGGAGGCACATGATGGTAATTGGAGAGAATGCATATTGAGGGCTGTTACATTGCTAGCACTGAGGTTGGGAAGGAGAAGTGTGGTAGAGAGATTGAGCCGATGGAAGGAGAAGGTAGAGAAAGAAGAGTTCCCATTGCCTCGAAATGAGAACTTCACTGGTAGGAAAAAGGAGTTATCCGAGCTAGAGTTTATGCTTTTCGGAGATGTTACTGGAGATTCAGAAAGAGATTATTTTGAGATCAAGACTAAGCCCAAGAGGAGAAATGTGACAATTAGTTGGAGTAGGAGTAATTCAATGGAGAGGCAGAGAGAAGGTAGTAAGAAAAAAGGTAAAGATCCTGTTACGTGGAAAGAATCAGAGAAAGAGATTGAGATGCAAAGTGCTAGTTTCCCTCAACAGCAGCCTCCTAATATACCAAAACCAAAGATTGGCAAAAAATATGCTAGACGAAAAAGATCTATGAAAATAGTATATGGAAAAGGTATAGCAGTTGTGGCAGGGGAATCTGGAATAGGCAAGACAGAGCTCCTTCTTGAGTTTGCATACAAGTACCATCAAAGATATAAGATGGTCTTGTGGATAGGAGGGGAAAGTAGATATATTAGGCAAAACTATCTAAATCTCTGGCCCTTTATAGAAGTTGATGTAGGAATTGAAACTTGTGCTGAAAAGAGTAGAATAAGAAGCTTTGAAGAGCAAGAAGAGGCTGCTATGTTCAGAGTACGCAGAGAACTGATGAGGAATTTGCCGTACTTGGTGATTATTGACAATTTGGAGAATGAGAAAGATTGGTGGGACCACCGGCTCATAATGGATCTTCTTCCTAGGTTTGGTGGTGAAACCCATTTCCTTATATCCACACGCCTTCCTCGTGTAATGAACCTTGAGCCTATGAAACTCTCCTACTTGTCCGGGGTGGAGGCTCTTTCTTTGATGCAGGGAAGTACGACAGATTATCCACTCACTGAAATTGATGCTCTTCGGGTCATTGAGGAGAAACTTGGAAGGATAACCTTAGGCCTTGCTGTAGTTGGAGCAATTCTCTCTGAGCTTCCTATTAACCCCACTAGGCTTTTGGATACTATCAACAGGATGCCTTTGAGGGACTTCTCATGGAATGGTAAGGAAGGTAATACACTGAGGAAAAATACCTTCCTTTTGCAATTGTTTGAGGTTTGCTTCTCAATATTCGACCATGCAGATGGACCTAGAAGTTTGGCAACAAGGATGGTTCAGGCAAGTGGCTGGTTTGCACCAGCTCCGGTTCCCGTATCTTTGCTCGCTGCAGCCGCTCACAAAATACCAGAAAAGCACAAAGGAACTAGGTTATGGAAAAAAATCTTGCATTCCCTACCTTGTGGGTTTACTTCCTACACCAAGAGATCTGAAGCAGAAGCTGCCTCTATGTTGTTGAGGTTCAATATTGCAAGGAGTAGTACCAAGCAGGAATATATTTATTTAAGCGAAATTGTCAAGCTTTATGCCCGTAGAAGAGGGGTTACTGGTGTTGCTCATGCAATGGTGCAAGCTGTTATTGGCCGGGCATCTGTTGTTCATCATCCTGAACATTTATGGGCGGCATGTTTTTTGATATTTGGGTTTGGAAATGATCCTATAGTTGTGGAACTCAAGATCCCTGATTTGCTCGTCCTTGTAAAAAAAGTGGTTTTACCGCTTGCTATCAGAGCATTTATTACATTTTCACGGTGCAATGCAGCTCTTGAGCTCCTTCGTTTGTGCACGAATGCACTTGAAACGGCTGATCAGGCATTTGTGACTCCAGTTGATAAATGGCTGGACAGGTCCCTTTGTTGGAAGCCGGTCCACACTAACGCGCAGTTAAATCCCTCCCTATGGCAGGAAATGGCATTAGCGAGAGCCACTGTATTAGAGACGAGGGCCAAGCTTATGCTGAGAGGAGGGCAGTTTGACATTGCAGATGATCTTATTAGGAAGGCCATTTTTATTCGGACATCTATCTCTGGTGAAAATCATCCTGGTACCCTATCTGCCAAGGAAACCCTGGCCAAAATCACCAGGCTTCTAGCAAACGTTCAAGCACATACCTCATCATAGTTTTCCATTCTTTTTTGTAAGCAGAAATTTACATTAGGACTATACATAGTGTTTCCAATAATGTCATGTTAAACATCTCAGGGAATTTATTTATACCATTTTATACTCGTTGAGATGCCATTCTACAGTTCCATTATACGTTTTCTGTTACTTCTATCACTCTGTCCATTTGTGAAACACAAAGGAATTCTCATGTTTCCAGTTGGCACAGGAATGCAGTCATTTAGAAGTTATTCATGTGAGATTGCAACGAAATGTTATTATGATTTACTCTAAAATCGCTTCTTAGCTTAAGCTTTCATTTCCAGAGGCCTGATGCATGAATTACGAAAATATCTGTTGAAATCTTTTGACATGGAAGATGACTGATTCATAAACTCGAACTATACTGAATGTCTGCAAGCATCTTTATTTATTTTTAGTTTTTACTTTTACAAGTCTTTGATACTCCATATCTCTTAGAAGGCAACCTAGCAACTCCGCCTTCTAAACCTTTTCAAAAAATGCTTAACGCAAATAAAACTTGAAAAAGTGTAAAAGACATGTTAAATAAGAGAGTACTAAATGAACCCGAGCAACCCAAATAAGGAGGAAGAGAGTTTGGTCTATTCTCAAGCTATATGTGCTATTTTCTCCTACTCCGTTGTAGAACAACTTGCATGTGGGCTACGATGAGGTTTCAACTAAACAATAGGGAATGAAGGTTGCATATGTATTGCCTCCGTTAAAAGTTTAATTCACTTTCTAGTTTAGGGTATTATAGAAAATTCAACTCACTTTTATATTAAATTATATTTTTGGCAAACTCATTTTGTTATACCCTACACTACTTACACCATTTCAATCGTTCTTTCTTAAATCATTCATTTATTGGATGGTGTTGGTGGATGTATAATTAAAAAAAATTGTTCTATTTTGTATTGAAACATTATATAATCAAATGAATATCATTTTCAACCTAGAAGAAAATAAGAAATTTAAAAGATAGGTATGACTTGTGGAATGATAAATGTTGAATAATTGATAGAAAGAAGCAATTAAATGTTAAAATACAAGATGTGAAATTTTACATGAAAAATAATTTATAAATTGCAAAGATTGCCAAATTCATTCGGTGACAACCTTAATGTGGGAAATCTTGTGATGCTCTGTGCCATTGATCTTGATGGCTTCCTCCAGCAGGGGACATTCTGTAACATACAAGTAGCTTAATCTGGTGAGTCGCTTCATGGCATCCGTTGCCGCTAGTTTCTTCAACTTGGTGCACCAAGCAAAGGCCAAATACTGGAGAGATGAAAGGTTTCCGATCCAATCCGGAAGACTTTCCAGATTCTCAAATTTACCAATATGCAGTACTTGCAGCGTCTTAAAGTGTTGAAGTTGTTCTGGAAGACTAATATCCGCATCTTGCTTTGTCCAACCACACAACCACAAAGTTTTGAGAGATGTGATTTTCAAAAGGGGACTTATATCTGGAAATTGATCTAGCTGTAAATAGTGCCCAATAAGTAGCTCTTGAAGACAAGGAAGGCTGTATATCCAATCAGGCAACTGACATATCATCTTGGTCATACCTTGTACATCGAGAACTCGCAGACGAGTTAATGCTGTCAGGTCAGGGAGTGTAAACTCAAATTTTGGATCAATTGACACCCCCAATTCTTCCAACGACTTACAACACGTTAGACCCTCCAGAGGATACTTTAGACTCCAGTAGATATCAAGACAACGCAACGAAGCTAAACCACTGAGGTTGGGTAGAGACTCCAAGCTGGAACAATTAGTTATTTTCAATTCTTGAAGAGATGTGCAATATTCTGTCAACTTATGAGATAAACTTGTGAGCTCCACCACCTTTTCGATATGAAGATTCTTCAGACAAGCGAGACTGCTTTCATTGTCAAGTATGCATAACACCGGGAGACCGGAAGTGTTGTTTGTAACAGTTAGCTTTGTAAGAGAGGGGAAATTAGTTGGAGTTGTCGTCAATTCAGGGCAGTCTTCCATAATTAATTCTTCCAGGGAAGGAAAGAAAGTCCTTGATGACCTCACCCTAGAGCACGGTTCACCCCATTCTCTTAAATTCTGAAGCCCACATAGTTGAAGTTTTTTCAAACTCGGAAAGTTGGAACTGCTACTTGCATCCTCAGTTAGCATCTCTGCACCTATGTGCTCCAAGCTATCCATATTTGTGATCTCAAGCCCTTGAAGATAAGGCAGGTTCCACAATGTTGGCAATTTTTGGCACCTTCGACAATTAATAAGCTTGATTATCTTTATCTGGCTGTAGACTGCATCCATTCTCATTATCCAAGATGGAAATTTCTCACCCCCATACCTCTCAATTTTCAGAAATCTCAAATTATGGTTTGGCTTCAAGCCATCCAACACCTCCGCATGCTTTACCCAGTTGTCGTCACTCTTCCAGTTTAGCCACAACTTGTCAAGTCTTGACTTCTCTGACATACGTGCAGTTTCAGCATCTTGTTTGCTCTTGATTACTTCAAGGCCGTGGATATCTAAAGAGCCACTCACGTGAGGCAAATATCCCAATTCAGAAATCTGGAATCCCCCATCTCTTACCCACATAGCTGCTCAATCATCCCTGCTGGAACTTGGATTATTCTGTCAATCCAAAGATGCCTCAGATTAACCAAAACTTGCAGGTTGTATAATTCGGTGATAAATTCAGGCAATACCTTAATTGGAATACTTCTCAAAAAAAGGTACTTCAAACACTTCAATCCAGCAACAGATTTTGGAACATCTTCTAGACCTACCTTGTATAATTCTAACACACGTAAATACTTGACATACTCCAATAATCCTCTAGGTAAACTCGCATTGATGTCTAGTGATCGTAAATTTTCAACAACTGATTTTTCCCAAAAAACTGAAGGCCCTTCCACGCGTCCATATATAGCCACATGTCGAACATCAAATAGGGGGGTTTTCAGTTGTTTGCCTTGTTCCAATAATAATGTCTCGTGCCTAGAAACTGATGTTGCTAGGTCATGCATACTGTACAATGCTATATCTCCAAGTTCGTCCCTTTTCACTTCCTGTAAGAAGGAAATGTTTAGCAACAAATTAATGTAACCTTCGGCAATATCCTCCATCAATTCTCTACTATCAAATTAAATGCCTACTATAAAGTATAAACATTTGCTAATTATCCAAAAGTAATTAGGGGCCGTTTGGTTCGCACAGTGGAATCGGAATGGAATGGAGAAAGGGTATGAAAGAGAATGGAATGAATCCCTTTCCATTTAGCATGTTGTTTGTTTTATAAAAAATACAAGGGAATCACCTCCACCATAGCACCACAACATCCACCATAGCACCACCATAGCAACACTCTTTTTCTTCAATTCCCAACCATCCTACAGTTCAACCACCACCTTGCCGCCCCTCAACCTCCTTCCTCCGACCTCGTCGCCCCTCACCCTCCTTCCTAGCGGCTAGGGTTTTGAGGGTGGGGGGAGGGACGGCCGACGGTTTTAAGGGAAGGGGGAGGGTTTTTTAGGGTTATTCGAGGGTGGGGGGACCTTTTTTCGAAGAGGGGAGATGTTTCCGGGGGTAAGGGGTGGGTGGGGGAGGTGCGCGGTGTTCCAGTGAAGGGTGTAGGAGATGCGGCGCTTGCGGGAGATGTGGCGCTTGCCGGCAGAGGGGCGGCGCTGGCTGGGGGAGGGGTGGCGTGGTGGCTGAGTGGTGGTTGTGCTGTAGAAGGTTGCTAGCTAGGGTGGATATGGTGGTAGGTATGGTGGCTAGGGAAAGGGAATGGAAAAGTCTAGGGGGGGTGGGGAATCACTTTAGAGGAAAAATGGGTAACGTTAATAATGAAAGAGGGTAAAGGGAATGATTGATAGTAACAAACAAACAACAACAAAGGGAATGGGGCATGTTCATTCCCTTTCCCTTTGATTATTACCCCCAACCAAACGGCCCCTTACTATTATACAGTGCTTATCCAATCAACTTGTTTTAAAAATGAGATGTCTTAAGCTCATCTTAATTGTTTTTTACTACAGTACCGTATAAAATGTTTAACAAAACTCTTATGAATAGTGCATGGATAATATTTCCCTAAAAATGTTCATTTATATATTTGCTCCCATTTATTGATTTCAAAAGCCTTAAAATTATCTCTTGAATTTCCTAAATTGATTTAAAAAGTTATGTTTATTTCAATATTTAAAAACATTTATTACTATCTCCATTTCTTTTTGTTTTTATATTTTATTTCACAATTCAGTCACTAAATCAAAATAGCTCAACTAAAATTTTGAATATTGCACAACTACCAAACATCTAATACATTTATCGCCTATATGCAAGTAGTTTTAATAAAACATAATAATTGAGTGTGAGTGGGGTAGTTAATATTTTTGTTTAGTTAAGCATGCAATCCCTCAAAAAAAAAAAAATGAACATTACATTAACTAAATAAAGCAATTGGTGGTTTGTACACCTAAGTGTACCATGTGCATGGCACACCCAGATTAAAGCGGAAAGAACATAGTACATAATTATTACAAAGAACATCATGAATTTAGAAATCATTAAAATATAAAGAACACGGTATTTTATGAGAAACAACTTTAAAAAAAGGTAAAAGATAATTATTAAATGAGTTTTACAATTTTTTTTTTTTTGAAATCTATTTTACCAATAATTTGATGTCAAATCACTTTAAAATATTCAAATATCAAAATTTTCTCTATCTAAAACTATTTTCACACAAATATAAGGAAAATTTGATAATTACCACCAACTATTGTTGTCAAAATTGAAAATACCACCTTAAGTTTTTTTTTAAAAAAAAAAAAAAATTTACCACCTAGTTTTTCCCAAAAGTTTTCAAATTCCCACCTTTTGTGTAACATGACGTCAGCATGGGCCCACACTTTCATTTTCCCTCCCTCTTCCCTCGATTTCCCTCTTTCTTCCCACGATTTCCTTCCAAATTCATCTTTAAATTTGATTTCAAATACAAAAATTTCGCAAATTAGGTTATAATTGATACAATCTAACCTACAACGAACTGAATTAAGTAGTTTAATTAGGGTTTGGGTAATCAATTTGGGGGTTTTTGCTCAATTCAAAATATTGTCCAGTTATTCATCCAATTAATGAATTCATAAACCCTAATTTTTCGAATTTAGCAAAACCCCCAAATTGATTACCCAAACCCTAATTAAACTACTCAATTTAGTTCGTTGTAGGTTAGATTGTTGAAATTATAACCTAATTTGCGAAATTTTTGTATTTGAAATCAAATTTCAGAGATGAAATTGAAAGAAGGGAGTAGAAGAACGGGGAAATCAAGGGAAGAATGAGGGAAAACGAAAGTGTGGGTCCCATGATGATGTCATGCGGCAAAAAGGTGGGAATTTGAAAACTGTTGGAAAAAACTAGGTGGTAAAATTTTTTAAAAAAAACTTGAGGTGGTATTTTCAATTTTGGCAACAATAGTTGGTGGTAATTATCAAATTTTCCCAAATATAATTCAAAACTTTATTCTTAAATTTCAAAAATTCACAATATAAGAACATATTGTATAAGTAAAAAGAACATAATTTGTATTATATACCTAAAGAACATGATTAATTTATGAACCTTAAAGAACGAACATTGTTTCTAATATAAAGAACATATAGTTTTGACTCAAAAAACACATATTTCATGGCAATTATAAAATGATAAAAGAACATTCATTAGAATATGAAGAACATCATCTTCAACCTTAGAAAATAACACCAAAATTGAAAATTAGATTAAAAAAAAAACAGAAATATATTTTCTTTCAAAACGAATTTGTCAGCTTTCAATTAAATGATTCGTCGAAATGATAAAATCAACTCTGTAATAACATTAAATCACTTCGAAATTTAAAATTTACCACTTCTCTCTCTGTAAAACTCAATTTCTCTCTCTTAATAAAAAAAAAAGAAATTTTGCAACAAACCACCTTTTATAACCAAATTTTTGAACCACCTTATAAAATTTATTTTGCAAAGACACCCCTTAATTAATTTTTTTTTTGCAACATCACACCTTTGGCCGAAAAAGAGGGTTTGACCCTGTTTCTCGACGTTGACCTGACCATATGTGAGGCACGTAACCTCTTAAAACCACTCTCCAACTAAGCCCCGCCAGAATGCCTAACTCCCACCCACCCTAGCCATCGAAACCGCCTTACCCACCCCACCACCACTAGATCTTGACATTCACCTCTTACCCACTCCACCATAACCACCAAAAACCCACATCGAAGCTAACCCAACCTCTTAAACCACCGTCTTCAACCTTAGGTACCTCATAAACAACCACCTGTCAAACTACCTCCATCAACAAAAACAACTGACAACCACAGACGACAACCTCAACAACACCATTGCCATAAACCTCAACACCAACAACAAAAACAACCGACATCCACACATACTTCCTCCGTTTCTATTTAGTTGACGCGTTTGATTTAGGCACATATATTAAGGAGAGGAGAGATAGTGAGAGAGAATGATAAAACAAGTGGGGTAGCTTGTGAATGCAAGGTAAGAAAGTTACCCCAAAAGGAAACGTGTCAACTAAAAAAAACTTCCTAAAAAGAAATACATGTTAATTAAAAAGAAACGGAGGTAGTATCACTAGTAGAAAAATGGTAATTGGCACCGAGATATAGGCACCAACTAAAAAGGGGGAAAATGGGCGGGGTTTTAAGAGTAGAGTATTGGCACCGGTTCAAACCGAACCAGTGGCAAAAGGTTAAAAAAAAACCCGGTCTTCTTTCATCTCTGCTTCTAGAACATAATAAAACTCTAACTTTTTTTACATAAAACCCTAACTTAGCTTCTCTTTCTCCGCCTCCATTTCATTTCCTCTAATCTGATCTCCCTCTCTTTCCTCTCCCTTCTCTCTCCTCTCATCTCCTCTCCCTTCTTCGATCTCCTCTCTCTTTCTTTTCGTCGATCTTCTTTCATCTCCTCTCCCTTCTTCGATCTTCTCTCTCTGCCTTCCATCTTCACCACCACAAATTCGACCACCGCCACAAAGCCCACCACTACCACATCATCACTGTCGCAAAGCCACTGCCGCAAAACCGCCACCACCACCACAAAGTTTGACCACCGCCGCAATGCCCACCGACAACAACAACAATTTCTGGGTATAATTATTTAAGATTATGGTTTAATTTATGGGTTTAATTAAATTTTAATCGATTTTGTTGGATTTAATTTTGGGTTTGATTTTGGATTTAAATCGATTTTTCTGGGTTTACTTAATTGATTATTGGATTTTGATTCGAGTTTTTCTCAATTTTTCGGGGTATAATTATCCGAATTTAATCGGTTTTGTATTTACTTCAATTTTTTTTCATTTTTTATGCGTTTTAATTTTGGGTTTAATTAATCGTTTTTTCTGGGTACATGCATGTGTTTTTTTTTCGAATTTTTTTTTTTTTAAAATTTTGAGTTTTCTCGGGTTTTTTTTTTCGAGGATTTTGTGTTTTTTTTTTAATATAAAGTGGAGTTTTTTCCCGAGTTTTTAGAAGGCCACATAGGATCTAATTTTCTCAGTGCGCCATGTAGTATTATAAATCTTAGTAGTAGTCAATTAAATAGGAGATTATTAATTTCTTTTAGAATTAAATAATTTAAATGCCATGTAAGCAAAACTGGCGAATGAGATTTTTAAGTTTAAATTAATTAAATATTAAATATTATCTTTTAATATTAGGAATTTTATCTAAATATATAACAAATTTTAGGCTCATAAATACAAAAAAAACATTATTTAAAAAAAATCAAACAAACTGTGCATCGCTCGGGCTTCATCTAGTTTTTTTTTTATAATTCTGAGTTTCTGGCTTTTTTTTTCCAGTGAGTATCTTCGTCGAATTCGGGGTCGAAGGAGAAAAATTGTTGGCCGATACTGCTTCTACTATTCAGCAAGTGCTAAACAATATTCGTTAATCCATTTGTTTTTTTTTTTGTTTTTTTTGTTGACAAGTGTAAAATTACAGATTATGAATTTCAATTTTAATATGTATTAATGTATTATTATTGGAGATATTATTATTATTGGCAGAAATGTTTAGATATAACATTTTGGTGATTATATATGAATGTCAATTATACTTTAGCATTTGGTGTGTAATTAATTATTGATTATGAATTTCAATTATATTTGGTGTTGTATGATTTTTCTGCTAATTTTTAAGAGAAAAAAGACCAAAAAAAACTGTTTTTATTTTTTTTTTGACATTGGCACCGGTTAACCGGTGCCAAAAGGAGGATATCATTTTTTTTGGGCATTTTTGGCACCGGTTAACCGGTGCCAATAACAAGTTTTGCCACCGGTTTGAACTGGTGGCTTTTTCATGCACTAATTGGCACCCCCTACATTGGTACCAGTTCAAAACCGGTGGCATTGAGGGGTTTTGAACCGGTGCCAATTTCGTTTTTTCATGTAGTGTATTAAAAAAAATTAACCCAATAACCTTAAAATATGAACAAGAATTGACAAAAAAATATGAGCAAGAATTCTCCCTATATTTGCAGATTCCAATTCAATTGCACAACCTCACAACATCACCAGATTGATTTTTTGGGGAAAGATTAAGTTTTCGGGTTTGTGGGAATTAAAGAATAAAGTTTGTCACTTGGCTTAATTTCGCTGGAAAGAATGGAGCTCGTTGTCTTCAATGGAGAATTATTCAAAGGAGAAAGAAAAACAGAGGAGAGAGAGAGTGCAAATGGAGGGGAAAAGAGGAAAAGAATGAATAGGGTGGTTTTAAGTGAGCACGTTACTTGCACATGGTGGAGTCAGCACCAGAATAAAGGATCAAATCCTCTTTTCTGGCCAAAGGTGTGGCATGGTAAAAAAAAAAAAATTATTAAGGTGTGTCTTTTTGCAATATATATATATATATAAAGTGATTTCTTTGAAAGAATTATTTATTTATATATATATATATATATATATATATATATATATATATATATATATATATATATAAAGTGATTTCTTTGAAAGAATTATATTCCGTCAATATTAACATTACTTTCCTTAGCAATATATACAATATACAAGATTAGGCTTAGTGTTAGGATCCGACCTCTTTCATCATGTATTTTGCTTTCTTATGTCTTTATTTAGCTTATGTTAAACTTTCAATGTATTCGTGTAAGTAGTTTAGGCGCTAGAGGAGATTATTGTGTTACTGTCATTTCAGTGTTCACTAGTATTTCTCCATGTAAGCAATATAAAGCTCTATATGGAGCGATGGTTAAATGAATGAAAAAGCTCCTATTCGGGTTGCCTTGCTTTAAGACTTGTGTGTTGATTTAAGCCTTTATAGATATTGTGCTTGCCTTGTTTTAAAGCACTCCACCTAACCAAGAGACTCCCAAAGACGCCTACATCCTTGTCAGTTCCGCTTGTGCCCGCTTCGAAGTATCGGTCGTCACAAGCCCCGACCCTGCACTCGTTACTAATGATTGCCTCATTGAGATACCTTTGGTCCGTGTTGCTATGTGCCCACGAACCTCTCTCACTCTAGGCTTGCGTTCTTGTTTCTAAAAGATAAGAGCGCGCCGCACGATCCGGTGTCAAACCACTCGGACCGTGACAGTTGGTATCAGAGCCAACGCTGCATCGTTGCCTAAACTCGTGTTCAAGTAGCACGCCAGTGATGGAAGATAATCTCGAATACACCTTCGAACAACGGATGGCCTGGCTTGAGGGCAAGTCCGAACAATGGGCCTTCCTAGAGGAAAGGGTGCCCAAGCTCGAAGATATTGTGATTAAGCAGGATAATGAAATCAGCATTCTACGTTCCACAGTAGATGGACTGTTGGAGCAACTGAATTGTGTCCAGGCACTAGCTGATGAGGCACTCGACAAGTGTGCCACTATGCATGCTCCTCAAGGCTTTGGGGGCAGTGGGGGTGCAAAGATAAAGCCGCCCAAGCCCCAAACCTTTGATGGGGCAAGAGATTCGAAGCAAGTCGACAACTTCATCTTTGACATGGAACAATACTTCCGGATTTGTCAAATAGAGGATCCCTTCAAGGTGGATACTGCCACCATGTATTTAGTGGAGGACGCGAAGTTGTGGTGGCCCACCAAATATGCCGACATTCAAGAAAAACGAATCACGCTTGATAGTTGGGAGGATCTCAAGAAGGAGATCAAGAACCAGTTCTGCCCGGATAACACCGAGTTCGTGGCTCGCACAAATTTAACCACCCTACACCACAAGACTTCCATTCGAGAATATGTGAAGGAATATTGTGCGTGCATGTTAGAGATCCAAGATATGTCAGAGAAGGATCGGTTGTTCAACTTTGTGCGAGGTTTGAAGGATTGGGCGCAACGTGAGATTTGGCGCCAAAAGATAGACACTCTAGCCGGTGCTATAGCAGCAACTGAGAAGTTAATGGATTACTCACCCGATAAGGGCCCTAATCAGAAGAAGGGGAACAATGGACAAGCAACAAGCACTCCTAGAAGCCAACACCCCGCCTCCCAAGTTAGCTCAAACAATGTTGGGAGTAGGTACAACAACATTGTGGGGGACGACTCTAGAAGGAGTGGAGCTTCCTCTTCATCAAGTAAGGGAAGCACATCAACCTTCTCAACGGGGAACAGACCCCTAACATGCATCCTCTGTCGGGGCCCTCACAAGTGGTTCGAATGCCGTCATAAGGGAGAAATCGATAGTCTCCAAAAGAAGTTATCGGCGATGACGGTGGAGTCAAAACAGACCGAAGAAGCATGCGAAGTAGAACCTGATGAGGAAGAGCCCTCAAGGCTGGGCGCGGTGCACATGTTGTACGCCATGGGAAAGGAAGAGCCCGAGGAGAGGTCCAAAAACACTGAGTTGATGTATGTAGAAGTGTTGGTGAATGGGAGGAGGGGCAATGCGATGATTGACACCGGGGCCACCCATAACTTCATATCCCAAGGAGAAGCTCGAAGATTGGGGCTGAAGCCGATTCAAGAAGGGGGTAGTATGAAAGCTGTTAACTCAGTCGCCAAGCCAGTTCATGGGGTTGCAAGGAACATCCCAACAAAGCTGGGGGACTGGAGCGGAAACCTGGATTTCACTGTAGCCACCATGGATGACTTTAACCTTGTACTCGGTATGGACTTCCTACGTGCAAGTAAAGCTGTCCCGATGCCCCATCTGGGGTCAGTATTAGTAGCTGGACAACAGCCTTGCCTCCTCAAGACTTGCAAGATGAGAAAAGGGTTTAAAGGCCCCCTCCTTTCGGCAATGCAACTAAAAAAGGGGTTGAAAAGGAACGAACCCACATTCCTTGCTACTCTATCAGTGAAAGAAGATGAAGCCCCTCATGAAATCCTCGCAGCTTTAGATAAGCTTCTCACGGAATTTGAGGACCTCCTCCCCAAAGAGCTCCCAAAGGTGCTTCTGATAGGCCGTCGTCGAGCCTACCAAAGATAATAACTCCTATCTTGGTCTCACTAACAATAGTAAGGGAAAGAAAAGGGTCGAACCCAAGAGAGGCGTTGAATCAACCACCGAGTACTACCGTTTAAATAAGCTAAATGAATTCTAAATTGGGTTGGTTTTGAGTAACTTCTTCTAATTCAATTCAACTAAAGCTAAGAGGAGATTAACAATATTAAGAGGAATCTAGGGCTTGGGTTATACCACTCAACTTCATCACAAATCACAATTAGCATGCAACAATCAAGGTAAATTAATGGGATAAATTAGGGGAAGTCATCTAAAGCACCCAACTACTCTCTCAAGCTAGAGGGATTACTTGAATCATGAATACAACCTACTCTCGTGGTTACATAGCATAAAACAAGTGTTAAAGCATAATCACGATGACATAAACATTCCCTTGACCGGTAATCCCTATTCTCATGACATTTCGGGTCAATCAAGCATAAGGGAGCTAACTCAAGTTCATCTCTCGATCCTTCGTTGAGAAAGCTTGGATAAATAGTTCTAGCAATGGCCATATACAAGAACTAAGCAATTAAACCACTTAAGCTCAACTAATTAACATCCCACAACAACCAAATTAGCACATGCAACAAGTAATTAGTGACTACATTGAGGGTTTTGCCCAAACCCTAGAATTTAGACTACTCACAATCCATGGGGGTTAAAGCAATAAAAGATTTCAAGCAATTCATGAACAAGTTCAAACTAAGGATTAAGCTAATTAACAATCCAAAACATGCAAGAACTAGCAAATAATTAACAACAAAGTAAAGAGAAGTAGAAAAGATGAGTAAGAAATGGTTACTATGAAGCTTCAAGGTGAGCAACAATGGTGGATTTTGTCTTCTACAATGATTGAATTTGAATAATTCCAAGCTAATAATTGAGAACTAACTAATGATTTGAGAATTTAATGTTCTAAGACTACAAACTAAGAGGAAAGCTCTAAAAAAACTGCCTCTCCCCCTCAAATGAGCTCTAAAGGGGTATTTATATGACCCCCAAATAAAAAGGCGGAGAAAACAAGGAAGGAGTTCGACTGCAGGTCTGCACGGACGTGCCAGATTCGGCACGGACGTGCAAGCATAAGCACGGTCGTGCCAGATTCGGCACAGACGTGCAGAGGGGGCAGAATTGAGGCAGAACGTACTGCTAAGAATCGAGCAGTTCCGCACGGACGTGCAGATAATGGCACAAACGTGCAGATAATGG